CACACACACACACACACACACACACACACCATTCCATGTTACTGAGTGCAGGACCCACTTCATTTGGTGTGTGGTGAAAGCTGTGCATGCACGCGCACACACACACACACACACACATGCACAATGAGGGGGCCAACACAACTGGCACTTTAGTGCGACGTGGCAATTAACTGGAGAACAAGTTCCTTACCAAGGACCAGCCAGAAGTTCTCTTGGATTGCTGGAGAGGGCCCCCAGTTGTTGAAAGAACCACCAACTGTTCCTCTTGTATAAAATGTCCTGAGTTCTGATCCTGCCTTGGACACAAAGCCAGCCAGAGGTCTTGGAGGCAATCCCACACTATCAGCCCGAGTCTGAAAGAGATTCAGGCAGACCTTTCTGAAGAAACTTCCCGCAAAACCTCAGGGACTTTCAGGGTTGGAAGGGACCTTGGAGGTCTTCTAGTCCTACCCCCAGCCCAAGAAGGGGACCGGCATATATCATTCCAGACAAGTGGCTGTCCAGCCTCTTCTTGAAGGCCTCCAGCGTTGGAGCACCCACAACCCCTGGAGGGAAGCCCTTCCACTGATCAGTTGTTCTCGCTTGGGTCCTAGCAATGGGCCAAGACTCATTCAAACGCACCTCCTGAATAAACCTACCTATCAGGATTGGGTGGGGGGCCTTTCCTCAGAGGGAGGGGCCGAGGGTACCCCCTGGAGACGACGAGTGCAAAGAATACGGAGCCGATGGACTCAAAAGGCAGCTCTTTATCTCGGGTAAGGTGGGGGGCTTCACGTCAGGGGCCAAGAGTCCAGATTCACACACCCCCGCACCCTCTGAGGCAGCTGGGCAGGACACGGTCAAAAGTTCTGGAGACCCTTGAACTGATGCCAACGATCCCGATGACGCAGCACCCGCCGGGAATGCCGATATCCGAATGTTGTCATCGCCTCCCTTATGACATCCGTGGACTCAACAGGTGGGAAGGCCAAGGCTGCCAAGACGTTCCTGAACTCCGGGGGCCGCGGGAGGCCTGGGGGAGGAGGGAAGCCGCCCCGGAGCCCCCCTTCCCCTCTAGCACTTCAGGTGTGCCGGGCCAAAGGACAAAGGCAGGAGCTCCTCCAGGGTCTTCTGGATGTACGTTCCGTCCATCCTGGTCAAATAGATCTCCCACTCTTGACCAAACTAGGGAGGGGGGGGGGGGGAAATCCACAAATCTTAGATGGTCCTCGACTTACAACCACGATCGAGCCTAAGATTCCCATTGCTAAGTCTTTGCCCCCATTTATGACCTTCCTTGCCACCATCGTTGAGCGAATCACTGCAGTTAAGTTAGTAACACGGTTGTTGAGTGAGGCTGGCTTCCCCTCTGGCCTCAAGGCGTTCGCAAAAAGGGTGATCTCAGGACCCCAGGATGCTGCGACCGCCGTAAATACGGACCAGTTGCCAAGCGCCCAGATTCGGATCCCATGACCACGGGGATGCCACAGCGGTCGCTAAGTGTGAAAGGCTTGCTTTTTTCAGTGCTGCTGCAACCCCAAATGGCCACTCTAACCTGAGGTCTCCCCGTGGCTTGTGCCCCTTAGTGGCCTTTCTCCAGCCCAAATTCCAGAGTCCCAGCAGTGAAAGAGCGGCCCGGGCCAAGCAGCCAGCCTCCCCGCCTCCCCCACTCTCAACGCTAGCTGCTCTGCCACAACCACAACCGCACTCGGGAGCAGGAAATATCCAGAACGGTGTTACACACTGGCGAAATGAGGACAGACGGCCGTGTTCAGGAGGAAGGAAGCGGATTCCCCACCTCTGGACGCGTGCTGGCTGCAGGCCTGCCTCAAAAGCGAACCACCGGTTGCGCAAGAGGAAAGGGTCGAAGAGGCCTGTTTTGGGGAATAGAAACCCCGGGCCTTGGTCAGCCACTAAGCCTTCCGGCCACAGTTTGAAAGCGGCGAGTCTTTCTCTCTCTTTGCAAAAGTCCTGCTCGTTTTTTCAAGCAAGGATCAGCATTTTTTCATTTCTCCAGAAGCCAAGCAGATGCCTGTGGAAAGCATACAGGCCGTAATAAAAGTTTTATCACTCCAAGACAGGGGCTGATGGGACACGCAGACAGGGAGAAGCACCCAGCCTTTTGAGACAAGGTCTAATTTTTGGGGAGGGGAATGTGTGGCTGGCTAGCCTTGGGTCAACCGTAGGAAGGCAGCTTCCTAGGATGGTTGTGCCGGGCAGCGATTCTCTGGCCCAGCAACCTTAAAATGGGTGGACTTCATCTCCCTGAATCCTGGGAGTTGAAGCCGCTGAGGCTGCGAAAAATGGCACGTCACTTTTTTCAGTGTGGTCGTAAATCTGAACGGTCACTAAAGAACTGGTTGCAATGGAGGTGCCAAATGGGACGGACAGAATACAATGGAGAAAACTTCACAGGCATCTATAAACGCTTGCATGTCTGGATGAAAGAAACATGGGTCAAAAAGCAATTTGTTTTTTTCTTTTTTAGGAGGAAGGCAGGAAAAGCGTTTTACCTCTCGGAGGACTTGTCTGCACCCTCCACAGGGAAAGGAGTAAGTCTCTTGGCTGTTGCTGTTAAAAAAAAAAAGGGGGGGGGAGGAACATAAAATTATCTCGCTGAATTTTGGAAGGTAAGACATCCAAACCTACGTGAGATTAGGCTTGCGTTGGCACATTTACCCTCTTTGCTGAACTAATCCGGTTTTTGCTTGGAAAATGCACCAAATCCGAAGCAAACCAAATGACTGGAGTTTGCAGGACCCTCTGAGCCCCTACTGCCCCCCCCCACCCCCAGCGATGCCCTGAACCCTCCAGGGATTCAGCCCTGCTCAGCCCATGAAGAAGGCCTTCCGCTCCAATTGCTTCCAAAGAGAAGTGGACATTATTAGTGTGGCTTTTAAATCTACGCCGCGCCAACATTTTTGCTCTGTGTACTGCCAAGAATGGATGCAATTTATGTTTGGCGCCCCCAGAGAGGCCAGCTTCTGTGTGTTTTCACCACTTTCAAACTGTGATCAAAAGGCTTCGCAGCTGACAAATGCCTGGGGTGACTAATGGGCGCCTTTTATTTCAAAAATCAGAACTTCTTGACCTCTTGAGCAACAGATGATTCACAGCTTTTTTGTCTTCCTGAAAGGCAGGTCTAGCCCTGCCTATCCACAATCTTCAGCCTTTCCCATCTGGATAGTCAGTTTCAGCCTAGCTGAAAACACGAAATCTTTCCTGGAGGGCGAGGGGGGAAGAGAAGGCCGAGTCCCACCTACCAACTGATGGCCATGGCTCGAAATTTCGTGTGACCTTCGGACACGGCCTTCTGGATGGCCGTTTGCTCGGCACAGGCGCCCAGTGGATAAGATGCATTTTCAACATTGCAACCTGGAAGAGGCAAAAAGCATTCTCAAGGGTGCTTTAAGTCGGGTCCTGGGTTCAGGCAGCAGCTCTGCTGGCTGGGGACTCCTGGGAGTTGAAGTCCACCCACCTGCAAGCTGCTCAGGGTGAGAAACCCTTGACCTGCAGCCTTCCAGGCATAGCTAAGCCACCTCTCCCAGCATCCCTTGCCAACCAAGGGGTCTTCCCTGATGCCACCCTGGGTCCCCCAGGCACCTTGGGCATAAAGAGAGGAGCCAGCCTCTGCCGTTGGGGCAAATGATGGGGAACCCAGAGGGTTTTTTTTTGGGGGGGGGTGTCAGCTTGACTGCCACCACCCTGCTACTCTGGGCCAGGAGGGGAGGGTCCAGGCAGGCAAGGTGGGCCAAGGGGCTTCCTTACCTGTGAAGATCTTCCCCTCGGAGGTCAGGAGGGCTGCGCCCACGGGGTATTTGCTGTAGGGGCAGTAGGCGAAGCTCTTGGCTTTTTGACAGGCGGCCAAAAGGCGCTGAACCGTCTCCAGCTCAAGGCCAGCCGCGGGGCTGCCTCGCTGCTCGTGTGCCATGGCCCGGAGCTCTCCCTAACCTTGACTGGCACCAGGGGAAGGAAAGGAGACAAGGGCGGTGAGCAGCATTGGAGAAGGCAGGGATCCTTCCCCTGGGAAGGGCCAACCTTCCCCTGCCAGCAGGGAGCCGCCTCCTCCTCCTCCTCCCTTTGGCCACCCACCACAAAGTTTCAAGCTTTGAGTGGGAACCTCTCTGGAGGGAGGCTGGCTGCTCCCTGCCTCCCCGCCCCCCCCCCGCTGCCTCCTCACCACACCCACCTCCCCCGGTCAACCTCCTGGGTCTTCTCAGCCCCCAGCCTCAATTCTGGCTGCTGGAGGTGGGGGGGGGATTCCTCTCCCTGCCTCAAGTAGCCAGGTGGCTGTTCAGCCGTAGCGAGAGACGCCGTCCTTCTCCGGTGGAATGGTTGAGCCGGGAAACCTCTCTAGGAATGATTCCCTGCAAGGAGAGTCACATGCCCAGCCGGCGGGGGCGGTGGGGGGGAAGCGAAGCAGTGGAGGTGAGTGGGGAGAAGGAGGGGGGGTCCCTACCGCTTCCCCGCAGCTCCGGCCAGCAGAGTCGGTCAGGGCAACCAGCCGGGAGCACCCAGCTGCCCTGATCTCTCCAGCCTGTCTCTACCCAGACTACTTCCGGGGAGGCTGGAGAGGAGAAGCGCCAGGCCCGGCTCTGCTGGCAAGATTCTGGTGGAAAGCCGGAGGAGCCAGCAGCTCCTCGATTTAGAATATTTCTAGGGCAAATTGGCTGCTCTCTTGGTTAATAAATATATAAATAGTTCAGCCACCTAGCAAACAGTGAAGTTGTAATCTGAAATTCTAGACTCCCCCCTTAGCATTTCAAGAAAGGTGATATTAGCCTTTTAGCCTGCTAATAATAAATACAAAGTTCCAGGTCACCATCCCGGCCCTGGGAGGCTCCTTTCTCGGCCTCCGGCGGGCTTCCTTGCTCTCTGTCACAGTTGGTAGAAATGCGCTTTTCTACCTTAGAAGGCATTCCTAACTAACGCACTATTTGCTGGACCTGGAGGAATCAGACACCCATCCTATAAAGAAGGCCGTGGCCCTCAGTCCCTGCAGGAGGCTGCCTTGGTTTCCGGAAGGTTTTCTGTATCCCTCCGCTGAAAACCCCAAACCCCCCCCCCCCCCCAGATTTCTCCTGGATTCGTTCAGGACCCGTGTGCTCAACGGTTCTTCGGCTTAAAGGAGCCCAGGGCTGTGCTGGGCACAGTCCCAGTTAGGGGCCCCATTCGGCTCTCCTCCCATTTCTCTATGGGCCAAAGGGCGAACCAGCAATCTCTTCCCTAGTTACTGTTCAACAGGTTCCAGAACTGGAACAGATAACGGTTTAACTGCTCCTGCACGGCCTCTTTTCTTCCCCACAAGGAAAACTCTCCCTGCAAAACTTGGCAGAAAGTGAAAGGGAGGCGGCCGCAGAGATGCTTGTCCAAAAAACAAAGGGAAATTTAATTTGGTCAAGCTGACCTCTGCTCCGCTTCTCCGTCTTCGCTTTCATCCACAGTCTCTGCAGCCTGCTCTATTTCACTTCTCCCAGCCGGGAGAGGCTGATGGCCCGGGCCCAGAACTTACTGAGGACTAGTATGGTGAGATATCCCCAACTGTCAGGCGGAAGGGAAGAACGAGGGAGGGAGTGGCCCTTCAAAAGGACTGGGTTCACCAGCCTAAGGTGCCCAGCAGGGCTGGAAATACCCTCCTTGGAAGCCTTGAGGACTGAGCCCAGGCCCCCTTCCTCGGCCCCCTTTCTTCTTTGAAAGCCTCGGGGGTGCCTTCCTCCCTCCACATCCACCACACACACCTATTTTCCCAGGTTGAGATCCGAGGGGGGGCCCTCCTCCTCCCTGGGCAGCCTGGGGGTGCACTCTGGGAGCGCCGATGCCGGCCGCAATCTTGCTTCCCTTCTCAGAAGAGGCTGCCGCTGGCTCCTCGGTCAGCCCTCCGCGGCTGCCTGTCATCCTTTCTGAGCACAGAAGCTGGGACTTCCTTCCTCTCCCTGCTTGCCTCACACCAGCAAAAGCCCTGGGCAACAGGAACCGGGGCTGCCAGCCTTGGAGGGGCTTCGCACGACTCCATGGAACAGTCCCTGCACCCCTACCCCCACCCCCCCGGGGTCCTGTGATGGCCAATTGCCGCCTTCTGGGAAACCGAGTCAGTGGGGGGAGCCAGACTATGGAGGAAAAGGAGAGCCAGCCCGATGGAAGCCCTCGCCCCAACTCCCTGGCTCTGGGATTCTGGGAGTTCCCATGGGAGGAGGAGGAGGAGGAGGCTTCGGTTGATCAAGGCGTTATACAGCGGCTCCAACCTGCGGCTGAAGGCAGACAGCGCTTCTGGCTTTGTTTCCAAGGTTGCGGTCCCTAAGCAGGGACTTGGCTTTGAACATCCTCGGAGAGGCACCTGGAACAGGAGCTCTGGGGTGCAGAGGGGCCACGGGAGGGCGTGCTGGAGGGCTCCGAGGCAATGCGGGGCGGGGCGGGGGGGGGGGAAACAGTTTTAAGGAGAGCTCTTGGCAAGTGGGATTAGCTGTGATCTGATTGTTGTCCTCCGGAAAGGAGGCAAAGCCACAAGACAGGTCCCTCTTTCTTGCCCCTCCACAGTGGAAGAGACACAAAGGGCCCCTTCAGAGGGCTCTTTCCTTCCTTCCTTCTCGTCCCTCTTTCTTTTCGCTCCGGGGATCCTCGACCTAACCCGACGGGGTTTGTTTAGCTGAGATTTCTTTCCTGAGCCAGGCCTTGCCCAACACTTTACTCAAGGCTGTGAGCCTTTTTCCAAAGGAAGTCACCACAGGAACCTCGGCTGCCTGGAGGGGCGGTGTGGAGAAAGCCCTGACTGGCTTGCAGGGGACCTTCGGCCTGGCCTCCCTCACAGGGTTCTTCGGGTAGGGAGGAAACGTAGCCGAGCGAAGGATGTGGAGGCTGCCTGGAGCTGCTGGTGAAGAGCCCAGCTGGAAGTCTTGCCACAAAACACAAGGCACCCGTCATCCATTTCAGATGACAGATGTCCCGTGGACTATTCGTGCTTGGCTCCCCAACCGCCAGAGAACCGCCTGGGCGGGCACTGCCCGGAAGGGCCTTCAGCGCTGCCCAGGAGAGCCCATCGGGAGCGTTTCTCCCCACCTCCCGCTGGGGCAAAGGGGGACCTTTGGTAGGCTTTCTCATCTGGGCCCATCCCTTCTCAGGCTGGGTGCCACTGGCTTCTCCATGCCAAGCGGGGATAACGGGGCCTCCGGGAGGTCATGGAGCCACCAAGCCGGCCGAGAAACCGGAGCCTGGGCCTGAGCAGAGGGCCCAGCCCAGGAAGGAAGCTGAGAAGGTCAGAAGGAAGATGCCAGGCAGGTGCTGGTGCCCTGAAGGACCCCGGAGACAGTGGACCATTGACGGGGCTCCTGGGATGGGGGTTGCTATGGCAACGGAAGGAAGAGCCAGGGCGGAGAGGAGAGGGGCGGTTTGGGGCATCAGATGCTTTCAGAAGCAAAGGGGGATGAGGCCTCGCAGTCCCGGACTTCTGCTTTCCCTCCTGTCCTCCTTGCTGACCGGTGAGTGGTTTGTCCCAGACGGGCTTACAGGCGCCTGGGGCCTGATTCTCCCCAGAGGAATTCCGGACCCCCCTCTGACATTTGGCTCAGTCTGCCTAATTGGGATCCACTCTGATGCAAGATTTGTGCCTCTGGGGGCTGGGGGGGGGGCAGGGCAGGAATGGGTCCAGCACATCACCTGTAGGCCAAAACTTCCTTGTGGACACGCCCGAATGCCAATTGCCCCTCTGAAGAAGTCCCTGGGTCTGGGAGGAACCGTTCCCAGTTCCCGAAATCCTGAGAGGCGGGACGAGAGGAAGAGGAAGAGGGCAGCCTCTAGGCCCCCACCCTGACCCTCCTGCCCTGCTCCCCCGTTTCCAGAGCTCTCCACTTCCAATTCTCTTCCAAATGCAGAAATCAAGAGAATCTCCGGAGTTAGCAGCCTTTTAAAAAAATCTGCAAATTTTCATTCTGATTTTCCTTTGGGGAACGTCTCACTTCTTCGGAACAGAAGTCGGTGCAGAGAGAGAGGCAGGCGGAGGGACCGAGGGACACTGTGGGTTCTGTCCATCTGTCGGTCACCCTCTTTAAAAGCCAGGGAAGAGCCCAGGGCTTCAGACGTACCTTTCCTTACAGCAGCTCCATGGCTGGGCTCAGAAACCGGGGCAGCGGGAGAGGATTTGCGGGGTGATCCCCACACAGGACCCCCTTCTGCTGGTGATGGAGGCGGACAGGAATGGCCAGGTATGAATATCCACCGGCCTCTTCAGACTTGAGCCACGGTTGACCGGCCTGAATCATGAATTACAAAAAAAAGGGAGCGTTTCCTCATTTTGACCACAAATGTTGCCGAAGAAAAAGGAAGCCGCCTGCCCGTCTGAATTAAGAAAAAGCCCATTTTCCTTCAGTTCTCCTTTGGGTCCCCGCCAGGTGGGACACCCCGCCCTCCCCCCACATGGAATCAGTGGGGAAGCCCATTTTAGACTTTCTGCCCCGGGTGGTCTGAAGGTGGGGGTGGGAGGGAAGGCGGGGGAGAGGAAAAAGAAAAATCTACCCGTCCTCGTTTGCTACCCGAAATCCTTCCCTGTGCTGCACTCGCTCAGAAATGCATTTCTAGTTCGATGCTAGCTTTAATAAAAATGGGACAATTAATGACATACAGGTGAATGATAAATTATTTAAATTGTACTTAATTTCTGAACCTCCCACTCACCCAGGAAAGCAGCTTTGGAGTGGTG